TGAGATGGTTTTACCTCGGTGGTATGACAAAACGACCGAGCTATCACAGCCATGCTATACTGGTTGAAATGACCGAGCTTTACCTAGCTCGGTTCTCCCCTTCACTGCGTGCACATCAGCTTCTCCAGCTGAGACCGTGCTAACCATAACGAGATTAGACCGAGCTAAACTGTAGCAAGGTCCTGAGAAAAGCTCAAAATACTTCGGTTCAGAAGGGTATGGTCGAGCTAACGGCCATCACTCTATCAGCGATGACCGAGCTAAATACAAGGCTTTCTTGGACCGAGCTAGCTACAGGACTCTTTTGGACTGGGTTAACTACAAAGCTCTTTCTAGACCGAGCTAACTACAAAGCTCTTTTACTCGGCCCTTTTAAATGTGGCCCACAGAACGGTCCATCACCCAACTCGGCCCAATTTACATATAAATTACCCTCTCACATATAAAGTATTAGCTATTATTAAATCATATTAAATATATATTATATACATAAGTAACACAAAATCTTATCTTTTTTATTCACTCATAAATTGTAAAAACTATGCATCTCTCGTACATTACATAAATTATTTGTTTTGATATTATAATGATTTTTTTAAAGGGTTAATTGTTAAAAAGTCCAACTTAATGAGGGCATTAGGTCCAGTAAATATTTTTTGTTGGTAAAAGATCCACCCTTTGTGAAATAGTTTGGTGGGAAGTCCTTTTATTTGGTTTGAATGACAATTTGTTTTCAATTTTACCGCTTTATTTAATCTGTTGCTTTTTTTTTACTGTTGACTTTTTGTGGATCCCATATTCATGGAAACTAGGGGTGATCATGGATCCGCCCAAACGGACCCAACCGACCCTACCTGATTGATTTTGGACGAATGCATGTCTTTTAGCGAACGATACGGATAAAATATTTCAAAATCCACAGATATGGTTCGGATGATAGTATCCTATGAAGCACGGACACGGGACACGACATGGACATGGGGACACGCAAATTTTAAAAAAATGGGGGACACGACACGCTTGGGACACATTTAATATATATAATTTTATTTATTTATTATATGTCTAAAATAAAAAGAAAATTATTAATTTTTATACAATTACAATAATAATAAAATTAATAAACATATTTTTTAATTTTTTTTAATAAAAAATGAGTTTTTTTAAATAAAAATAATTTATTTTATGAATTTTAGGTTTAACAAAAATAAAGATAAAAAAAAGAAAAAAGAAAAAAATAGAGAGGGAAGAAAATAAAGGATGAGAGAGAAATAGAAAGAGAGAGAGAGAGAGAGAGAGAAACGGGTGAAATAAAAAAGAGGGAAAGTGAATCAGCAAAGGGGGAAAGTCAAATGAGAGAGAGAGAGAGAGAGAGAGCAGAAGTCGAAGCAAAGGGAGGAGAAGAAGAAGGAGAAGAAGATGGAGACAGAAGACAAAGAGGACGAGGCGAAGAAGAAGATAGCAGACGAATACCTCAGCTTCTTCAGTTGATGTGAACAGGTTAGGGCTCCTCTCCTCTCCTCCCTCGATCTCTTTCTCTGTCTCCTCTCGTCTCCTCCCTCAATCTCTGTCTTCTCTCCTCTCGTGATCTCTTTCTTTGTCTCTATTTCTCTTTCTCTGTCTCCTCTCCTCCCTCGATCTCTCTCTCTTCCTCTCCAACAGTTAGGGCTTCGATCCACCTTAGGCGTGTCCAGAAAGTGTCACAGCGTGCCCATGTTTTTTTTGAAAAACCAAAAAAAAAAAAAAAAAAAAGCACATTAAAGAGCTTCTAAACACTAATCAAATTTCTTTTCACACTTGCAAGTATTTTTTTTTGAGGTCACAAGATTAATGCAAGTAATAAATGTAAGCAAAATTAAAGTGAGTGTATTTAGAAGTTCCCTACATACCAAATGACAGTACTACCCTCTAATTTATGTTGGAACAAAGGATAGTCATTGGAAAAGCTAGAAAATTTATCCAATAAAAAATGCTATATATTTATAAAAAAATACCAAAAAAGCTGGTAATTTAAAATAAAGAAATGATATTTGATGATATCAATAAATGAGCACCATTTGTCATTACTCATCTATCTTTTTCATTCTCTCAGTCAAGATGAAAATTAGACCAATATTTCAAACACAATGATGTGATAATTTATTAGAATATCTAAAATAACTCTCTTGCTCTTTCATATTTTCTTTAGTTATTAACCATTCATCTCACTTATGCATTATTAAGTTTAAAAAACGGACTTATTTATCAATTTTCTTAAATTTATGCCTTAAATTTAAAGTACGATTGTAATTCACATATTTCAAATTGGAATTCTTTTTTAATTTTAAACTTTTTTGGGGGTCTACTTTTAACTGTTTATCATTTAATAGAATGATTGAGATAAAGAGATTACTAGAAACTATAAAAGAAAAAGTAAATATGATCGACTCCAACACACATTCCTGACAATTATCAACAACAATGGGGAAGAAGAATGCAAGCCTCAACCTGTTAATGCTGTTGATGACTGTCATGGTGATGTTCCAGGCCTGCATTAGCCATGGCTATCCGGTCAACCAAGCGGGTCGACTCAGGGCCTTGTGGAGGGATAAGAAGAAGCAAACTGATCAGAATCTTGATAGTTCTGATGATGTGTGGTCGAGTATAGGAGGAGGAGGTGGTGGTGGTGAAGTTGGAAAGATGGAAAATGATGAAATTAGAGGTGGGCTTCCAGGGCAGCCAACAGAGGTGATGTTTAAGCAGTATGCAGGGTATGTAAATGTGGATGAATTCAAAGGAAGAAGCCTTTTCTATTATTTTGCTGAAGCTGTCCATAATCCATCTTCTAAGCCTCTTGTTCTATGGCTCAATGGAGGTGATCTCTCTCTCTCTCTCTCTCTCTATACAAATTAATGTGATGTGTTTTGAATGTAAACTTTTAGATGATGATTGAATTTGAAAACCATTTAGCTTATTTACTAGAGGTAGAGTTTTAAATTAACCAAATTATAATTAAAAAAAAAAGAGGTGTGAGCAGTTAACAATTTTGTAAGCATTTTTAAAAGAAAATAAAACGTGATGGAGTTTAAAAAAATGTTCATATCATATCAAATGAGCTGTACACTTCATATATAATAGAACGGATATGTATGTGTCTAACTGTGTTTGATGGTTCTAAATATCAACAATGATAGCAACCGAATTTTTCTTGAGGAAGAGCTCAATATTTAAAATTTATCAATCAAATTTATCTCTAGTCTGTCCCATATCACACCAATTTAAATCTACATATGAGACCTTCATGGATAGAATTTTCGGATTCCTACCATTTCTCTTTAAATATGACAATATAGAACATTTATTTTTGGGCATCCTGATAACGATATACTCAGGTATATCGGTAAGAATGAAAATAACATTCATATTGAGTGACTTTTGGTAAGTATAGGTTCATAATCAATTCACCATTAGATTCACAATTGATATTATCAATTCTATTACTATGAAGGTTAATTTCGCAATTGATAATTTTTAAAATATTATGTTTTTCAGTATATATTGCTCAATACTTTTAATACCCACCACACCATAACTAATACCGATTTGTCTCCCAATAATACCATTTAAAATCATGGTGCGTTTGAAAGTTGTTAATAAATATATAAGGTGGTAAAAAGACTAATATTATTTATGAATGCACAAAACAGGGCCAGGTTGTTCATCATTTGGGGTGGGAGCCATGGGAGAGATTGGACCTTTTGGTGTAAATTCAGACTGTAAAACCCTTTATCCAAGAAAGCATGCCTGGAACAAAGGTTGGTCAAATTCTTATTCTGCTATTACTCATTACAAAGACCAAATCACTCTGTTTGATTTTTTATTTTTAAAAATACTTTTTGGGTTATTTTTAATTTTTTATGTTTTGTTGTCTTTAGTGAATTTTTAAAAATATTTTTTTAGTTATTTATTTTTTTAAAAAGTACAATATTTGTGAAGAAATTTAAAAGGAATTCAACATATACATAAAAATATGAAAATATATTGATATATATATATATATATATATATTTTGTATTTAGTGAATTTTTTTCACAAATTTTATACTTTTTAAGTGTATCCAGATTAAATGAATTTAAAAAGTAAAGGAAAAAAATTGAAATATTAAAAATATTTATTTAAAACTGAAAAATAATTCTGTTATATATATATACACATCTTCTAAATTATGTATCATTATTTATGGAGCTAGTTGGCACGCTTAATTTATCCCGGAAAGATAATCAAGTTTTTGTTTAATAAATTTATTTATCATTTAACTGTTTACCTTTCCCTCTAGTCCAGTAATTGCACTAAAAGGTTCAAATGGAGAGTTGTGAGCTCATTCCGAATTCATCCCGTTAATTAAAATTATCCATCTTTTAATTTTTTTTTGTGTGAATTGTTTATACAAAAAATTAAGTTGATCGGATATTAACAGTAATTTAATTGAATTATGTTTGACTTTAAAAAAGGACAATAAGAATGATTTTGAGAATAGACTATTTATTTTTTAAAAATATGCGATTATAGATATTTGTTTAATTTGATTTTTTATATAGAAATCTAGTATTAAACGAGTATTAAAATATAAATGATTTGAATCATCGCCTAGTATGAGCTCATAAAACAACCCCTTCAACTAATCCCTCCATTCCAAATGTCTGACAGTAGGAAAGGCTCTTCCGTTTTTTTATATATGGCTCTCAATGTAGTGGTAACACTTTGAAATATTAAGTAAATTTAATAAAAAAATTTGATAATTATTACATTAATTATCGAATTACTTATTTATCAATGCATGCATACTTATTTCACTGAATTAGAGTCTTTGTGGTCGTACATTTTGCAGTTGCAAATATATTATTTCTGGAGTCCCCAGCAGGCGTTGGATTCTCCTACTCAAACACTACATCTGATTACGATATGTCAGGAGATAAAAGGACTGGTAAAATTACAGACAAGCCTTCCTCCATTCCCACACCTAGCCATGCATACACTCACACAAACACACAGGAGAAATTATTCATTGCTACATGCAACAATATCGAAAAAGGCATTCACGCAATCAATTAGTGTTGATTATAATCTCTAATGAAAAGTACAACTGCAAAAACTCAGTAAGTGTTGTCTAGGCAAAATTGAAGCTCTCTAGAGTCATTCCTAGCAAAATGTCTGGTTTTGCCTTTAACAATTTATGGAGGAATGAATCAGGAAAAACCTTTTGATTGTACACTGTTTGTTTTTCAGCTCACGATGCATATGTCTTCCTCATAAATTGGTTTAAAAGATACCCGCATTACAAGGCCAGAGACTTCTATATAACCGGTGAAAGCTATGCACGTACTTACAAGCATGATTATAAGGAATTAGAATAAAACAAACATATAAAAAATTAGGGTTAATTAAATTTTTTGCCCCAAAAGTAAGAATCTTGTGTTGTTTTAGTTCCCAACGTTTAAATTGTGCCAATTTCGTCCCAATGTATAAAATATTTCAATTTGGTTTCTAATGTTAAAAAATTGTATCAATCTGATTTCCAATGTATTGAAAGTGTTTCAATTTTAGTCCCTCAAATGTTTAAATTACACCTATTAACAGAATTAGATTGGGATTTTGGAGGACTAACTTGAAATTGAAAACTTTTTATATATTGAGGATTAAATTGACACAATTTAAGTATTAAGTAAAACACTTTTATACATTAAAAATCAAATTGATATAAATTAAATATTGAAGACTAAAACGCCATAAGACTCCTAGTTAGAGAATCAAAAATAAAATTAACCTAAAGAAATATGAATTGTCCTCTAATTGGGCCTACTTAGAGTATTATTGTATTTGAACAGGGCCTACTCTGAGTATTATTGTAATGGGACAACAGGAATCAGGATTTGGTCTCTCAATACGTTTAACATGGCATGGGCATACATGCCACTTTAATCAAGGGTCCCCTTGTTATCATCATTATGTGTATATCTTGGTGCTGACATCCAACTCATGAATAATTTTCTTATAATAATGTTAGCTACCTTGGAAAATTTCCTGGAATTGATGCATGAAGTAAATTGTGGACCCTTTCAAGCTAAAAGCAGTGTTATTAACACTATAATCCAAAATAAAAATAAAAACAAAAATTATGTTCCTATATTTTGATATTGTTAAGATTTTTTTTTTAATATATTTTTTTATAGGATTTTACATTCCAGAATTGGCAGATACCATTATCAAGAGAAACAAAGAGGCAGACTCTACCTCCACCATCAAACTCAAGGGAATAATGGTAAAGAGTCTCATTACCTAGTAATACAATCTTTTGATAATTAGCAAATGGTGTAGGGGTATGGAAAGTGGTTGTTGTGCATTTCGCACAATAGGTATGTAGCTATTGAAACTCATTTTGGGTTCTATTTTAATAATTTGAACTATTCATTTTTTAAGATACATTGAGTATAATATATTTGTCAAAAATTAAATTAATCAAACATTGATAGTTATTTCATCAAACCACATTTGTATATGAAAAAATAAATAATAAATATGATTTTAAGAATAAAACTGAACACAAATATAATCAATAATTATTTTTCATGTTGCATTAATGCTAATAATCAATAAGTCTAAGGCACACAAATAAGATAGTGGTCACAAATATTATGATCCGTCACAAAAGACAATTTCAATTAAGTTGTTTCATCTATATTTTGTGTGATTGGTTGTGTGGTTTGTATTGTATTGGTAGATTTATTAAGCTTATAATTAACCATTTGTTTTTGAGGAAACTACATATCAGTGTAATTTAAAAAAAAAAAATTCAAATCAATGAAAAATCTTATAAATATTAATAATTAAATTTACAAACTTTTTCATTATTATGTAAATATTTTGTAAAATTTCCACTTATATGTAATTTTCCCTTTGTTTTTTCTGGTGGCATATGTATATGTAGATAGGAAATGGGATAATGAATGATGAAACAGATGCTAGAGGAACGTACGATTACATATGGAGCCATGCATTGATATCAGACGAAACTCATAGCGGACTCATGCACTGCATGTCTTCCTCCAATTACACCCCACAATGTGAAGACTATGCACAAAAAATGAACTCAGAGATTGGTAACATAGATTATTACAACATCTATGCCCCACTGTGTTTGGACATTATTACCTCAAACTCATCCAAAAAAAATAGTAAACGCAACAGAGGAGGAAGGCATGATCCCTGTGAAGAAGCTTATGTTCAGAGATATCTCAATCTTCCTCAAGTTCAGAAAGCTTTGCATGCCAACACTACTCAACTCCCCTACACTTGGGAAACTTGCAGGTCTACATTCAACTTTTTTATTTTTATTTTTTATAACTGTGTATCTGACTCAATGGATTGACTAATCTGAACCTGTTTGATTTTGAAACTCATTAACTATTTTCGATTTTTTTTGTTTTTGTTTTTAGTATTATATTTTTTTATTTTTTAATCGACTTCATCTATATGACCTTAAAATGTAAGATATTTGTGATGGAATTTAAATATGAAAAAATCACTAAATATGAAAAAGTACAAAAATAAAATTAAAAATACAAAAGAATCAGTAAATTTTGATATTTTGTTATATTTAGTTAAAAAAAAAGAAAAGATTTTCAACTATTTTACTTTTTAAGTGCATCTAAATTATGTACATTTAAAAAGTAAAGATATCTGATTAAAATATGATTTTTTTTTTTTTATACTAAAGACAAAAAATAATTCACTATCTATTTGTTGAAATGTGGCACTTGTTAATCATTCATCACATTGTCTGTTAAATATTATATATTTCTTTTTCTCACTATTACCGTTAATTGCTGAGCGACTTGTCTAACGATTTTTTCGGCATGTCCTTATCACCAAATAAGATTTAACTTTGTATCTAATCCCTTATACCCTCTTTAAATTAAACTTTTCACCAATTTTCTCTTTGTCTAATTTATTATTATTTTTATATTATAATTTTTTTTTTAACATTTGTTTTTATTGGAAATCAACTTGAGTAATTAAGATAGGCTTTTCCACCTTTATCTACTGGCAAGAAGAGTTTTTATTTTGTTAGACATTTGGACAAAGAAATTGTTTTTGATAGGCATTTGAAAAAACTAAGTACTTTTAATATTTAAATTTTTTGATGAGTCTTGGGTAATTTTAATTTTTCTGAACTTTTATATAAGAAATTTATTTATTTATTTGATTGGATCTTATACGAATATTAAAGAGAATAAAAATTTGAGAGTTTTGAAAAATTAAGATTCTTAAGTGAGCGCCTAACTTTGCTTAAACAACAGTTAACCTTGTATTCTTTGTAATTTTAAAAAATGACAATTTTTTCAAGATTTGCAGTATTAGAATATTTTAATTAACTTGGCTAATAATTTTATACTTTTTATCATCACACAATACAAAGTATATAATTTAACAGTTTGAATTAAAATTAAAATTAAATGATATTAAAATACGCGTTCACTGATTGATTCTGTCTCTCACACACAGTTTGGTGATTCGTGATTGGAAGGATAGACCGTCAAGCATGTTCCCCATATATAAAAGGCTCATTGCATCTGGGCTTCATATTCTTCTTTTCAGGTAGGTACTTCAACCTCTTTTTTCTTACATTAGTGATCTAACAATTATCAACACTATTTGCATTTCCATGCTAAGTTTAAATTGTTAGCTGCTCCAACCGACATGGAGGAGTAGTTAGAGGTTGGCTGGTTTGCTCCAAGTCAAGAAGTAGGAAGGAGATGGCAGGTGGCAGCTAGCCCAATAACTCCCCTTCCTTGACTTTGTTTCCTTCTCTTTTCTATATAAATTGAGGTGAGAAAGGGAAACATAACACACAGATAGAGGCAACAAACACAGAGTGTATAATCTGTGTAAGAGAGTGAGAGTGCTATAGAGAGAGTGAGGTGTGAGTGTTGTAAACTCCCTCTGGGATAATTCTACAGTGATATCTCTTTTGTGGACGTAGGTTATTGCCGAACCACGTAAATCTCTTGTGTTATTGTGTGTGATTAATTTCTGGTGTGCCTTAATCCTAACAAGTGATATCAGAGTCGCGTTGGTCGATTTTCGAAAAAACAGGGTATGTTTTTCAAAATTGCCCAAAAATCGAGTTGCTCAAAATTCATTTTTGAGTATACCGGGAGGAAGTTCTCGACGAGAGAAGTTCAGAACTGTAAAGCAGAGCCCCTGACGAGCCACAATGCGCCTTCACGCGCCACCTGAAGAAGGTGCGTGAGTCCCGGTCTCAGACACGCCCCGGTTAGTATATCGACACGTCATTCCAGTCGCATACACGCGCCCCATGCGCGGAAGAAGGAAGAAGGCGACTGATCCGCGCGTGATAATGACGTCATCGCCATTACAACGACACGTCACTGACACGTCATCGACACATGTCTGCCATATCATCGACACGTGTTTGCCCACATGTCTGCCACATCAGTGACACGTGTTTGCCACTTGTCGGGTTGACCTGACCCAGAGACAGAGAAGTTGCGGCTACAGTACATTTGCAGATCTGAACTGTTGAACGTATTTTGGCTAGATCTAAGCCATTTGAAATCTGATTTTGGTGATCCAATAGTGGTTTCCAACTATTTGGAGTATTCCAGAGTGATCCGTACGGTCAGATTTTTGAATCAGAGTTTCTGTAAAAAGTAAGAAGACAATGGAGGAATTCATATCAACTTCAGGATCCATGATCAAGTTGAATCCTTCAAATTATGCAATCTGGAAGTTGCGGATGGAAGACATCCTATATTATAAAGACATGTTTTACCTTATTGCTCTAAAAGGGGTTAAACCAGAGGAAGTGAAGGATGAAGACTGGATAAAGATGAACTGGAAGACTATCGGTTGTATCAGATAATGGATAGACCACAGTGTGTTCTACCATGTTGCCCATGAGACAGATGCATATGTCATTTGGACAATGTTAAAAGGAATGCACTAGTCAGAGACTGCCCAGAGCAAAGCCTTAGTGATGAGAAGGCTTGTAAATCTAAAGTCGAAAGAATGGTGTGTCTGTCGCCGAGCATACCAGTGAATTCAAGAATCAGGTGAATCAACTTGCAACCGTCAAGATGCCATTGGACGATGAATTGCAAGCCATTCTACTGCTTAGTTTTTTACCGGACAGTTGGGAGACGTTGGTGGTTTCTCTCAGCAATTCTGCACCAGGGGGGAAGTTGACCACGAGCATGGTCACAGACGCCATGTACAATGAAGAGACAAAGAGGAAAGACATGAGAGGTAATCAGTCCCATGCTCTTGTCACAGAAGATAGAGGCATAGGCAGAGGCAGAGGCAGAGACAGAGGTAGAGGCAGAGGTAGAGACAGAGGAAAAAGCAAGAGTAGAGGTAGATGGAACAACATGAGTAAATCCAGAGACAGTAAAAGTCAAGGTAACTCTAGCTTCACTTGCTTTCACTGTGGCTAGGAGGGTCACATAAAAAGGAACTGCCCAAGCCGGAAAGATAAAGGCCAAAGCAGTAAGTTAAAGAAAGATGAGAACACGATAGCCACAACAACTGATGAAATACTTCTTGCAGTTAGTGAAGAGGAGGATTGCGTTCACGTGGTTGACCACCGCTATACAGAGTGGGTGATAGACACAACTGTATCTTATCACGCCACTTCCCACAGAGAACTCTTCAGTTCGTACAACGTTGGAGATTTTGGCATTGTTCGAATGGGAAATTCTAGCTATTCCAAGATTGTGGGCATTGGAGACATTAGTATTCAGACTAATGTCAGACATAAGCTGGTTCTCAAAGATGTGAGGCATGTTCCAAATTTGCGCCTCAATCTTATCTCTGGAAGCGCCCTGGACCGATAGGGCTATACAAGTACATTCGGAAATGGCCGTTGGAAGTTGACATGAGGAGCTTTGAAAATCGCCAGAGGTGAGATGTCTTCAACACTGTACAAGACTCAAACGGAGATTAGTCTGGGAAGTCTTAATGCAGCAGAAGATAAGGAGTCACCAAACTTATGGCACAGAAGACTGGCTCACATGAGTGAGAAGGGATTGCATTTGTTGGCAAAACAATCCAAGATACCCTTATCCAAAGGGAATGCCTTGAAGCCGTGTGATCATTGCCTTTATGGAAAGCATCATCGAGTATCATTTAGTTCAATGAGCAAGAGGGAAATAGAAGTGCTCAGTATGATATACTCAAATGTTTGTGGCCCAATTAAAGTGGAGTCACTTGGCAGACGCAAGTATTTTCTGACCTTCATTGATGATGCATCAAGGAAGTTATGGGTGTATTTCCTGAAGACAAAGGATGAGGTATTCCAGCACTTTCAAGAGTTCCATGCAATGGTGGAAAGAGAGACCGCGAAGAAGTTGAAGTGTCTTCGCACAGACAATGGTGGTGAGTACACTTCCAATGCTTTTGAAGCATATTATGTTAGCAGAGGTATCCGGCATGAGACAATAGTTCCCAGTACCCCACAACACAATGGTGTGACAGAGAGGATGAACAGCACTATTATTGAAAGAGTCAGATGTATGCTTAGAATGGAAAAGTTGCCAGAGTCATTCTGGGCTAAAGTCGCCCGTACATCCTATTATCTCATTAATAGGTCGCCTTCAGTGTCGTTGAATTTTGCGATACATGAAGAAGTTTGGTCCGGAAGAAAGATATCACATTCTCACTTGAGAGTCTTCAGGTGTAAGGCGTTCGCACACATCTCTAAGGAAAATAGATAGAAGCTTGATGACAAGTCCACTCTATGTATATTTGTGGGCTATTCAGATGCAACATTTGGGTATAAGTTGTGGGACCCAATGAACAAGAAAATATTCAGGAGCAGAGATGTTGTGTTCTAGGAAGACCAGACAGTAGCAGATTTTGAAAAGTCTGCAAAGTCTAGAGATGTCATCACTCTAGACATGTTTCCATCTCCCGAGCCATCACAAAATGCTAGATGTGATGATGTGCAACAAGAAATGCCAAAGTTGTAGGATCCTATGCCAGAAATTGAGGATCAAGAGGAACGAGATGAAGACCTAGATGAAGAGGGTGTTGAGTAGGGGGAGCAACCTCCTCAACCAAAGACAACTAGGCCTCAGTTGCGGAGATCTGGAAGAGCTGCCGTGCCATCAACCAAATATCCCGCTTCTCAGTATATTCTGACTACTGATGAGGGGGAGCCTGAGAGTTTTTCGAAAGCAAAGAGTCATACAGAGAAAGATTGCTGGATACAAGCCATGAAGGAGGAGATGAGTTCTTTGTAGAAGAACCATACTCATGAGCTTGTTTCACTTCCAAAGGGCAGAAAGGCATTGAAAAACAAATGGGTGTACAAATTGAAGAAAGATGGCAACGGTAAAATATTGCAACATAAAGCCTGCTTGGTGGTCAAAGGTTTTGGACAGAAAAGGGAATTGATTTTGATGAGATCTTCTCTCCAGTTGTGAAGATGACTTCCATTCGAGTAGCTCTGGGATTAGCAGCTTGCTTGAATCTGGAGGTAAAACAGATAAATGTCAAGACTGCCTTTCTTCATGGTGATTTGGAGGAAGAGATCTATATGGAGCAACCAGAAGGATTTGAAGTTAAAGGGAAATAGAATCTAGTCTACAAACTGAAGAAAAGTCTCTATGGCCTGAAGCAGGCGCCGAGACAATGGTACATGAAGTTTGATTCATTCATGGTGGATCACAAGTACACAAGAACAGTAGCAGACCGGTGTGTATATTTCTGAAGGTTTTCGAATGGAAACTTCATCATGCTACTATTGTATGTCGATGATAGGCTGATCATCGGACATGATATCACTATAATCAACAAGTTGAAAAAGGTCTTGTCACAGTATTTTGACATGAAGAATTTAGGCCCAGCACAGTAGATTTTGGGCATGAAGATTGTTTGTGACAGGAAAACCAAGAAGATACGGCTGTCACAGGAGAAATTTGTTCAATGGGTGATTGAAAGGTTCAACATGAAAGATGCCAAGCCAGTCAGCATACCACTAGCCAACCATTTCAAGGTGACATAGCGTTTGTGTCCCACGATCAGCTCTAAAAGAAAGAAATGGAGGCAATCCCTTATTCTTCTGCAGTAGGAAGTTTGATGTATGCAATGGTGTGTACCCGGCTAGATATAGCTCACACAGTTGGCGTTGTGAGCAGATTCCTCGCCAATCCAAGAAAAGAGCGTTGGAAGGCAATCAAATGGATTCTTCGGTACTTGAAGGGAACTTCAAAGATGTATCTATGATTTGGAGGAGCCGAACCAATTTTGGAGAGTTTTACATATATCGATATGGCAGGTGATCTTGATGGTAGAAATTCTACATCAGGATTTTTGTTCACCTTTGCAGGAGGAGTTTCATGGCAGCCTAAACTACAAAAGTGTGTTGCTTTATCTACAACAGAGGTAGAGTACATTGCTGCCGCAGATGCTGGAAAGGAAATGTTGTGGTTAAAGTGGTTTCTCCAAGAATTAGGTCTACAGCAAGAAGAGTACAAGGTACACTGTGATAATCAGTGTGCAATTAATCTGAGCAAGAATTCCATGTACCATTCCCGTACAAAGCACACTGATGTCCGGTATCATTGGATACGAGAAGTGATGGAAAAGCAGTTGATGAAGCTGGTGAAGATTCACACGAACAAGAATCCTTCTGACATGATAATCAAGGTTGTCACCAAAGACAAACTGGAAGTTTGCAAGAATCTGACAGGGATGGACTTCAAGTAAAGAAGTCAGTTATCCATATGGGCGTAGAGGGATAGAATTGTTAGCTGCTTCAACCCATATGGAGGAGTAGTTGGAGGTTGGCTGGTTTGCTCCAAGTCAAGAAGTAGGAAGGGAGATGGCAGGTGGCAGCCAACCTAATAACTCTCATTCCTTGACTTTGTTTCCTTCTCTTTTCTATATAAATTGAGGTGAGGAGGAAGGAAAACATAACACATAGATAGAGGCAATAAGCACAGAGTGTATAATCTGTGTAAGAGAGTGAGAGTGCTAGAGAGAGAGAGAGAGTGAGGCGTGAGTGTTGTAAACTCCCTCCGGAATAATTCTATAGTGATATCTCTCCCGTGGACGTAGGCTATTGCCAAACCACGTAAATCTCTTGTATTATTATGTGTGATTGATTTCTGGTGTGTCTTAATCCTAATATAAATTAAACCACAGCATGGATTACTAGACAAAATTTCTCTATCTATTTGTTTCAAAATGCTCACAGTTATTAAATCATGTTTCAAAATTCTTATAATTTAAGATTTTCATATAATCTAACAGCTGTGTTTGTTTTGAAATAAAAGACAAAGATTTTGAAACAGACATACCATTCTTATCTTTTATTATCTATCAATAAACTAAAAGGGTCTAGTGCAATAATTTTAGATACTTATTTATTTGAGTCAATCCATATTTGCAAATAAAATTTCCATATATATAATTTATAGTACTTTAATTTCAAACCACGACACTTAATTTATAAATTTAAAAATACTAATGTCACATCACTTTCGTTGAGTTTTTGTATAAAAATTTTATTTGCGTATAATTTTTCAGTTATAAATTTTTCATCTCTTAAATAAACATTTGAATTTTTTTATTTTTTATTTTTCAGTGGGGACGTGGATGCAGTGGTTCCGGTGACAGGCACTCGATATTCCATAGATGCCTTAAACCTTAAAGTAATCAAACCTTGGAATCCTTGGTCAGATGATAATGGACAAGTAAGTTTCTGGGCTAGCATTTTTTGTTCACACACACTTTCACACTTTTTTTGAGCTAGCTTTAGAAACTAATGCTATACAAATACAAAAAAAATTGTTCATAAAATTAATATGGAATATTATTTTTAAAAAATTTACCCTGGCACATTATTATAATCTTAAATTTTGTTTAAAATTTATGTAAAAATATTATTCGTTTACTTTTTATGATATGTTTAAGTTTATAGTTTGAAGGAGAGAGATTAGAACCATTGATCTCTTATTGTGGTGCAATGACTTTGGCCAACTAACCTAGTGCTAGTTGGTTTTATTTGTTATAGTTGGGTTTATTTTCTTAATTTAGAAAAATGCTATGAACCTTATCTTACAAATCCCGAATGTATCTCGAATGAGAGTTGTGTGGTTGAGATTGAATTTGTTTAGCGTGAGATTCATATGTAGAATAAATTTGAATCACAAAAGGACAATTCTGGATAATTTTTAGATAATTAAATCTAAATTTATAGTATTACTGAATAATTTAAGCTTTTTGGAGAATAGTTGATTTACCATTGTTGAGGTGCAATGACTCTCTATTTGCATTTCTATCTTTGTTTTCAGATTTTTTTAAACTTACATCCAATTTATCCGTTTCAACTAGAAGTTTCTAAAAAGTTAAAAACAAAAATTAAGGGGAGGGAGGGGGGGTCTGTATACTATTATCCTTTATATTTTACGATACTCGATTTTAGAATTCTACTTCGAGTTCACAATTAAAATTCAAACTATTCATAATGTAAATCTCATAATAAAAATAATCTGTACAAAAAAGAAGCTTTAATGGATATCACACATGTAAATAAATTATATTTTATTTTTTAAAAATGGACAAGAACTATGAGCTTAAACTATAAAACAAAATGTGATTTGTTTATTGATTCATTGATATCCAATGAAATTAATTTTTTACACAAAAAATTTACTGTGATATTTACTAAATAAACAGTTTGGATTATTATTGTGGGTTTGGAATGAAACTCATAAAATATTGTCCATGGGGGATAGTAGTATAGAGAGAAGCCATTCATCGATATTCGATGAATTTAATTTTTTGCACAAATGATTTTTACTACAAGATTTATAAGATGAATCGTTTGAATTATTGTTGTGGGCCTGAAATGAGGCCATAAATAGAGTATGGTGAAGTATGGAGGATAGTGGTATGGAGATGAGTCATTCTCGTGTTATCACAGCACCCATGTTGTGACGGCTCATCGAGTTTATCCTAAATTTATTTTGATGATCTGAATTATTTTTATTTTAAATTTCATCGAGTATATCATTCATATGAAAAATGAGGTTAATTAGACGTGCATAACCCGACGATTAGGCTCTAATTGTTTTGTAAAAATTTATCAAAAATCATGCTAACTGTTTATTTTATTTAAACATAAATGTGATCTTGTTTTGAGATTATATATGTTCAATTAACTCGATTTTTTTCATGGATGATTTACTCGATAAACTTTATAATAAGAACGGTTCAAATCATTAACATATATTCAAGACACGCCCCCGGTCTCGAAGCATGGGTGTTATGCCTATCTGTACTTGTTTTTGGGAAAATTGGTGACTTATAGGGTGTTATTATTTTTCTTGATTCATATAATTCTGTTATTTCATCAGCAATTTTCAGGTCAATTGGTGACTTAACAGGTTTAATATATCATTTTCTTGATTCATATATTTATGTTATTTTTTATTTTTATTTCGTAATTAATGTGGGTAAGTGGTGCAGGTGGGAGGATATAAAGTAGTTTATGAAGGATTAACTTTCACAACAGTTAGAGGTGCTGGTCATCAAGTCCCACAATTTCAGCCTCGTAGAGCTTTGGCCTTACTTAAGATGTTTATTACTGGAAAATATTAATGCTCTGAACCTCCTTTAAACTAAGCTAAATTTGCTTGTGATCAAGTCAAAATAAGTTCCAAATATTTCTATCGATTACAATTTTGAAATTGTAAGATTGAAATGTTCAATTTGAAGTAATGTCATTTCCTCATATATGTTGGAACCTAGCGGTTTTCTGTGTAAATGTGTGTGTAATTTAATTATATAAAATAAAGAACAGAATGAAACAATTCATAAAATAATTTAATAAATTAAAATATGAATTTAATCCTTCTAAAAAATAATTTAATAAATTAAAATCTGAATTTAATACTCACAGCGCGTACAAATAGATAACTTCAAGTCGATATTTGTGTTGGACACAATCTGCTTAAAGTAGATTTCACTCTTGCTCTGGTGTTTCAAGATTTACCGGTGTCTGTTTTCTAGGATGCAATGACTAATCTTGAAGTTGCAGCACTACAATTTAAAGCCTGACGAACTAAATCAGTGTTGTAATTCTCTCTTTCTCACAAACTCTTTCTCATATCTAACTTGCAGAAATTACGTAGAACAAACGATAGCGAAAATAGGAAAAGGAAGAAACGAAAATGAAAGAAATCTGGAAATGATTGAATAAGGATTTGAGGAAATGGAGCAGGCTATTATAGCCTCAAAAGTGCCAGTTTGGAATGGCCGGAAAAGGCAACCGGTCAAAATGGAAGCGACCGAAAAATTTAAATTTGAATTTAACTTTTAGCACAAAATGAATTTGAAATATAAAATTCATGTAAAAAAAAAAAAAAAAAAAAAAAATTGAACCTAACCTTGGCTCAACCGGCTGCGCATGTATGTGGTCAATTTGGATTCAAACCATTTTTGTTCATAACTCATCTCATACAAGATATGTCTCACTTCTTTTTTTTATTTATTTTTTAAAATCTTAAAATTTTTAAATCTTACGTTTATGCTAAAAAATTATATTTAATTTTGAAATTGATTTCAATGTAGGTAAAAGAACGGGATGATCCCTGAACTTTTGGCAAGGAAAGAAAACTATACTTATTTGACATGATTAGGACAGGCCCTGCCCAAAAGCTCTCGCAATCTAACCAATTTGTATTCTATTATTAATACGAATTATATATGATAAAATGAAATAAAATATTAATTACTTTTTCACAATTTGAATTAAACTATTTGCAATGTAATATATTCACTACTTGATACATATAACTGAAATTAGTTTTCATATTATGCTTCATGTTTGTAATTTATAGGGGAAATTATCATTCAGAGCTAAAAGTTATTACAAATTTATAAAAAATAATTAATATTTTAATTATTAATATTTATCATCTATTTAAAATTATTTCTTTGAAAATGCATCCTGTTTGTTTGAGTGAGTGGATTATTGGTACGGTACGATTGAATAAGGAGATTATGAGTGTGATGGTATTAAATTAAAAATATAGGATAAATTGTGTTTATTTGTGTACTATATATAGTAATATTAGTTTGTTGGAATTTATAAAGTTACATAAAAACCTTCTCATATAAAAATTGACTTTTTTGTTTTTATAAAGTGAGGAATAAAATAGTCATTTTACCTCTAATTTCATGGGATTATATTTCAATATTACCCCCCACATGGGATTGCTAATCCCCCTCCTTGAAAGAGTTTCATAGTCCCGTGCCCGTTTGTTTTTAGAGTTAAATTGGGTGAGATTATTAGTATAGGAATTATTAGTAAGGGAACTAAGAAAAATTATATTTATTTGATGGCCACCACATTAGCAAGAATTCATGTTTGTTTTGTCATTCTATGATGTGATGAACTATATGAAATTTCATAAATACCTTTGGTATTTTTGATATATTTTAATATTAACAATATATTTTATAAATATTAAAATTATATTTCATAAATAGCTATTTTTGGTACTATATTATTTCTTTTATATAAGCTTTTTTTGGGTATAATTTTATTATTATAATATTATATTTTCATTTAAATTTTTTTTTATATTAAATTATTTTGATATAAAGAATGGTGGGAGTAAAAAATGGTGAAAAAAAATGTGGAGGAAGGACTATACTAACCAAGTGGAATAAGTAAATTAAGTAGGACAATATGAGGGTAAAATAGTATTTTGAAAAATTTACTCCTAAATCCCATATGGGGGAATGTTGATCCATTTAATTCTAAGAGTTTTTTTATGAACCAATTAGTCATTTTTATTTTGGAAAGTTATATTTATTTGATTTGGTACCATTTGAGTTTAAGTGAATGCCTTATCGTGATTTATATTTCCAATTTTGTGATTTATTTTTGGGATGAGAATGGAAAGGTGAGGTGTGAAAGATTTTTTTTTGGGAGATTGGTAGCTAAAGTGTTGGTTGTTGTGTATGAAAATCTACATTTCTCTTGGTGTGATTTTTTGGTATTACATTAGAGTGTTATGTTTGGGAAAAAGAAATACACTAAAGAGTTTTTATGTGTTACATTGATTGAAGTGTTACATTTGAAAAAAATACACTAACACTGTGTTTGGTTGAGGGATTTGGACAGGGATTTGGAAAGGAAAAGGGAAAAGGTATGTGAAACTATGTGAAATGTAGGTATGTTTTATTCACATTTCACCTACCTTTTCTATTTCCCTTTCCAAATCCCTCATCAAATCCTCTAACCAAACACAACATAAGAATTTTTTTTGAAATATTACGTTATGATGTTCAAAAAAATACACTAAGAAATTTTTTAGTGTGTTATATTAGAGTGTTAAATTTTTGGGGTACTTACGTATAGGTCCTAATAAATGGCCTTATTGTCTAATAGGTCTTATGGAAAAAATTTGTCATAAAAAAAGTCACTAATTGTAAGTTTTAGTGACAATTTATAAAAATCATGACAAAAAAAGTCACTAATAATTAATTTTTAACGACGTATGTAAAAAATTATCGTAAAAAAATTATTTTTAGCAATAATTTTATTAAGACTTATTTTCAATAGGACTTGATGGGAATTAAGTCTAACTATTAGGACCTATTGGTAGTTTACCTAAATTTTTTCAAGTGTCACTTTTAGAAAAATTACACTAAGAAATTTTTGTGTGTTACATTCATTGGAGTGTAATGTTTGAGAAAAATACACTAAGAAATTTTTTTAGAATGTTATGTTGTTACGTTTGAGAAAAATATATTAAGGAGTTTTTTAATATGTTACATTGAAATGTTACCTTTGGAAAAAGTACACTAAAGTGTTTTTTAAAGTATTACGTTTAGTAATTTCAATATTATGAGAAAATCCATATTTGTCCTTCAATACATAATATACTTACATTTATGCTTGGCCGTTTATGTAATTCACACCAAAATGAGACCTTTAGGTCCATAAGAAAAAAAAGAAAGATCAAACAATTCATAAGATCATTATTTTAAATTTATTAGTGTTTCACCATGATATTTTTCAAGCTAATCTCATGTGATTAAATCTCAATAACAAAGTCTCCTTGACCTTTGACCTTTGCTAATCCCCTCTATCTATGAAACTCATAATCTATTGGTACTACCAATCCATTGGGATTAATTGCAAATAAACACAATAATAGGGAGTCCGACCTCGTTTGAGAACATACTATTTTAGTATTTTTTTTTGACTTTTTACGAAAAGAAATGCAGAAAAATAAAGAGAGTTATGTGACAACTTATAACAACTTTTTGAATTTTTAGCTAGAATGTATAGTTGACAAACAAAATCTACTCACTATTAGTCTCAATCCCAAATTATTAGTGTGGTGGGATTGGGTGAAGTGATTAAGAAAAATTGTATTTGTTTGATGACCATCAGATTACTGAGAATTCTGTTTTGTTTTGTCATTCTATGATAGAATTAATTATATGAAATTCCATAAATAGCCTTGGTATTTTTTTTTATATATTTTAATATTAAAAATTATATTTTATGAATATAATATATTTTTGAGTACTAATTATATATATATATATATATATTGGTATAAATATATTAGTATACTATTATATTTTAATATAAAAAATTATTTTTATATTAAATTATTTTTGTAAAATGGGGGACAAAATAGTCATTTCACCTCTAATCTCATTTGATTGGATTTGAATACCACTTCTCCCGTGAGTCTGTTAGTCCCCACTTCTTGGAGGGGTTTCATAGTCCCATAAGATTGTTAATCTAATGACTAGGGGTGTTCAAAAAACCGAATCATTCGATGAAACCGATCAATCTGAACCGAACCGATTGATTATCATCAGTTTCGAAAAACTTCATGGATCAATGTAGACACCCCATTTTTGATCGTCCTCAAGACTTGGACGTCATCGATTGTGCACTCGATGATTTTGATTGCATGTTCTTGTTTTAGTGGCCAAAGACCTCGGCGGAATGCCCTGTCTTTGAGCTTCCAAACCCTGTCCATTCTGTGCCTTATTTTGGACCAAAGCCTTAGTGCTTCAAACCTCAAAACCCTGAGACTTGCAAGCCTTCTCTAATGGGCTGCCGGCCACCAATTGTGCCCTGTCGACCACCCTTGTGCCTTACCGGCCAATGGTGTGGCCTGCTGGCCATCATTCGTGGCCTGCCATCCACCAGTGTCTTTTTTGCAAATATTTTGTTGACAGTTGTTCCAAGGATTGCTACAATGACTTTCATCTCCTGACACGTATAGAGGGGATTTATCTTTAGGGCCAAATGCATGCTTTTTTTTTTTATGTATAGGGGGTCTCCTTCCCCATTTCTTAGGATTAAAATTTTTGGAGCAAAAACTATCTCTCTCTCTACATTTCTCTCTCTCTTTCTCTCTCTTTCTCTCTCTCTCTCTCTCTCTCGCTCGCAAATTTGAGCACATTAGTCTACATACACCACATTTTTGCCTACACTTTCTTAATCAAAGTTGATCATCTTTGAGCTGAGGTTCCTTGAGGCCTTCTTGGAGCTCTAGAAGGTGGCTTTGGCTTGAATTGTTTCCTAAAGTTGATCTTTACTTCAAGAGGTATAATACTCCATTTTTTAACTTGTTTTGCATACTTGTTTTTCTATCTTTTTTCCCACTGTTTTTGGGCTGTTTTTGAATTGTGAAAACTCTATTTTTGTGGGCTGAAATTGGTGGTTTTAGGCCATTTAAGGTTAGGGGGTGGTT